TTGTAAGTTCACTTTGTTTTATTTCAGGTGTCCCCAGATATCATCAGAAATTAGACCAAAACTATTTGATAATATTTTGGATTTTCACAGTGTGAGTAGAGAACTCAAGTAAGAGCAGCAATACTTCAACATATCTTTACTGAAGTAAAAGTAAAAGTAGTTGTCCTAGAAATTCTCAAGTAAGAGTAAAAAAGTGTTTGGTAAAAACTTTACTCAAATACTGAGTAACTGACCAAATTATTTAATATTTAAAAACTACATAATCAGACAGACCGAAATATAAGCTTAAGTGGAAATGTTGGAATTTTAAGGACCAAAATGACAATAATTCATATAAGTAACTAAAAATAACAAAATCAGGTGAAGGAAAATGTTTCCAAATCAGTTTCTTTCAATAAAAAACTAACAGAAACTGCAGGTGTGTCTGAGTCTGGTGAATTTGAGTTAAAACATGTTTGTTTTTCATTCAGTGGGTAAAAAACCCAGAAAGTTTACTTAAGAGCAGAAAAACTTCATAATCCAATTACTCAAGTAAAAGTAAAAAATAAAACATTCCTAAAAGTAATTTTTTTCAAAAAGCTACTCAAGTCCATGTAGCTGAGCCACAAACCTTGATGACGATGTGTCCCTTTCTGGTGCCGCTGCGGTCCAACTCGCGATGCTCCTTCACCATCACGATCTCCCCCTCCTCCTCCACCTTGTGCGTGTTTTTCTCCACGTGGTTGAGGATGCGCCAGTAATCCTCCTGGGCGATGCAGACGAACTGGTCGAGGACGACATGCGGACAGCGGGTGAACTTGTAGTAGAGCAGTAGATTGCTCTGCACCACGTTCGGATACTCAAAAAACAGCAACGTGGACGCATGAGAGCTGGCAAAGTGAGGCATGGGAGGATCGCACAGACAGAGGAAGGAAATGTCCAACAGCGGAAAGCTCTCGCTGAAATAAAACTGAACTGGGAGAAATGGAGGTCCAAAATCATCTCAGCTATTTGAACAAGAAATCACTAAAACATGATCTGCTCCTCTTGTCTAACTCATCAGTTTCTGCATTTGTTTCACTAACGTCTACCTCTGCAACTTCCTGTTTATGTGTGGTAAGGAAACGATATGTGCAGCAGCGGAACTAGTCAGTGTGGACAAAGGGACCTTCTGTGTCTTTTCACATCGCCATTATATTAAGAATGTGTTTTTTCTTTAGAGAAGGTCACTCGAACAAAGAAACTGATGTTACTGGGATTCTGTTGAGAAAGAAAAGTTTATATAAAAACAAGCAGGAGGAGAAATGATTGAGCTGCAGAGGCACACATGAACTCTAAGAAGAAAAGCAGAAATGAAATCAACTCAACTTTGGTATTTCTGTTCCATGACACGCATTTTACTTTACAGGCTAAAGACGAGCAGGACTAAAATTAAAAGATTCATAGCAGTAAAAATAAATACTGTACAGAAATGGCTTATTTTTTGTACAAAAGAGGAAGTGTCAATCATAGAATCAGTCTATTTTTTACTATAGGAAGGAGAAATCATAGAGCCAGTTCAGGCTTTTACTAATGTCAGAAAAATGATAAATTATAAGAAAAGAATCACAAGAGTTCATTCAAACTCATGATACAACTTTTAGTGAACGGAAGGAGCTAAAAATCCTTAAAATGTTAAAGCTTTAACTACTGTTGTACACTTTATGAAGCTATTACAGTAAAGAATAAAAAACACCAGCCATTCTGCACTGTAAATAATAATAAACTGTTTAATGAGGTAGGCTCTGTGCTAACCTCTAGCCTGTTAGTTTTTGTAGTTGGTCTCCTGTATTTTTACAAATGTGTTACTTTTGTAGGAGTATTACCACAAATAATTGTGTTTTTTTTGCAACAGGAAATATTTAACAATCAAAATTATCTTTCTTGTAAGCAAGGTAAAAGTTTTCTTTCAGTCAGCTGACGGGCAGTGCACAGGAATATGTGAGAGAGGGGCAATGCTGTGTTAATCTTTACTGTATCAATGCTTACAAGTCATATGTAGCTAACCAAACCCAAAATAGAAACTGTTTTCTCTTGCTCATTTGGTTCAAATGGTGTAAAAAGTTCCACAAATTAAATAATTTAAATAAAACAGAAGGGGGAAAAATTCAGTTTTTCATAATTTGATGATTTGGTTGTCAAATTCTTTTAAGCTGTTGATCAAATATTAAATTAATGTACTATTACTGGCTATTTATGATGATTAAATAGATCAACAGTAATACTAAAAGTGCCGTCAGATTGTTGCAGAGGGACAAAGAGAGGAATTCATTTTCTCCACCCTGAATAAAACCACCATTTCTGTTTGCTCTGTTTTACCTGGCAGTCATCTCCTTTGGTGCGAACTTCTCCGTTCATGTACTGCTTATCCAGTGAGGGCGAGATGCCAAAGCTGTTCCCCATACAAAGAGTCTCTGTTCGGCTTTCTGCATGGCTGATCTCCACGGCTCCGTTCAAGATCACATACCAGTGGTCGAGCTGCAGACAGACCAACAGCAGCAGCAAATTATTCTGATTCCAGCAGCTAATCCCATAAAATGGGCCGTAATTGCTTCTTAGCACTGTTCTTTCAGGTGTTTAACAATACAGACATGTTGCTGTTTACAACCAGAAATTTTGCACACGCACATAACGCCAGAGGACAAAAAGACGATTATTTTGCATGCCATCCGTAGCCGCACCAGAACGACTCAGTCCACAAAATTAAACCTGGACATTAGGTGTTATTAATTTAGTGCAGTGTGTCACAGCAAGGGGGGAAATGATGCAGAGGAACTGTTTAAGAACAACTGAAAACCACTCATATTCTTCTGTTTTCTTCGCTCTCTTTGTTGACTACGCTACACACACACACACACACCTGTTGCCATGGCAACTGGCAATAACGTCACTATACATATAAACAAGATTCAACAACAAAAAACACCCAAACATTTCCCACACACAGTCCAGAACATTCAGTCAGTTACAGTTTATGTTTTAGGCTTGATACTTATTTTGTGATTATTAATAAGTGATTGCTGTGGTAGCTTAGCTACCGCTGCTATTAGCTAAGCTAACACAGCGGTGGTGTATTAGCTAATTTAAACACTACTGATGATCTGTCAGAGTTGATGTTTAGGTAAGCTTCTACTTTTATTTTCTAACTGAACCAAAACACGCTGGATCCCACAGCATATCCACATGTTGAGGTTGTCATAGTCAAGCTAGCATAGCTAAACTACTTCTCTCTCCCTTCCTACTTTTTTTAAATTAAAACTTTTTCCTAACCTTGAAATCTAGTTGTTGACAATTACTAGCAAAGCACTGTGTCATTTTTCTCTTATATATTAAGCAGGTATTTAAGATATAGTGCATTATGTTGACCACTGAACAGCTAAAACCAATGCTAGTCATTGTTAGCTAGCAGCTTTTGCTTTGTAACGTGCCTATGAACACTAGTGTATGCAGGGTTGGTTGTTGGTCTTTATCGTTGCAGTCAAAACATCCATTGGTTGTTGCCAAACTTGTAGTATATTTCGGTGCTAGCGGGTTGTGTTTCTGAGTTATGTCTCCAGCAGTTGCTTTTTAAATAGAAACTGCTTCATTTCGCTCAGGAAGGAGGGCGACCGAACCCTGGGCTCCCTCTGCAGCCATCACTGATATTTGTGAGTGCTTCTCTCTTTCTTGGCCCCATCGGTTTCTATTTCTGTTGCTTTACCTGCTGCCCCGCTTGTTTCTCTGAGGTGATGAAAAGGAAATAATTGAGACAATCAACCACACGTAGAAATACATAGCACACAAAAGTTAACTAGCAACTCTGCTGTGCTATTATTGATTTACTTAATGAATATGTAGAGAAATAACCATGAGATGACAAGTGAAAAATGAAGCTATTTTTGCTTTTTTTGTTCCCCTGAAGCATGTCCCTGCTCTTTTCTCCTCTACTAAACCACTTCAGCCTCTTTATTGTCCTTTCTCTCTCACTCAGCCAAGCCATTTTGACTTCTGAGTGGAGCCAAGTGCCTCTCTTTGACATTCACCATGTGAATCCAGAGACACAGTGGAGGAGCGCTGCCCATCAATCGACCTGACAGAGACAGCAGGGAGGCACACAGACAAACACACGGCTGTTCAGATACACATTTTTTGAGAGAGTCTCTAAGTTTTACCAATGCTGAGATCAATTCCCATCTTCCTGATCTCAGAAATGGTCGATTTGATATCAATTTTCGGTCAGTTTTACTGCTGCTGTGTGGAGGAAACAGTCAGGATGGATCTCTTGTCTCTCAGACATGTAACTTAATTAATTTGCTTTGTAGCAGCTCAAGTGACTGGCAGCACGAACACAGTGGCTCTGCACACATCGAGAAGCATCACATGCTCCTTCAAACCTTCATTTACTGCTTTCGCAGTTATATTATGGTTTTGAATTAAGAGAGAAATATTGATACAAAAGAAAGGTTTTTCAACACAAATTGTACAAAAGGTGTGTAGCATCCAGGATTTTTCATGCAAAATATCAAATGCAATAATAATATCAATATTAACATGTCCAATCCACATGCAGGTTTCCCAGAGGGAATGCTGGGAAAGTGTAGTTTCTATCGGCAGATGTATTTCAGATGAAGCTACCTGTATTCTGCTAATGTCAAAAAAACTAACAATTTTCAGTTGTAGTGTTTCAAACTTCTTCTGTCAAGTTTCTCTGGTCAAGAATACAGATGTGATGTTTTTAATATGCAGGAAGGGGAATCACACAGGAAGCCACATTTGATATCTATTTGAATATGTATGTTATCAGTTCCTCGTTGACTCAGCTGTGAAAAGAAAATGTTCCTGAGTTTTTGTGGGTGAACCTGTTTCTGTGGGCTTATTTCTTAACAGCAGAAATCATTCCTACCTCTTGTTTGTTGTGCAGGATGACCGTGCCAGATTGCTCCACCACCTCAAACACCATGACGCTGCACAAGTCTCGTCGTACGGACATGGTCATGTTGGCGAACGCAGGCAGCTGGTGCAAAAACTCCAGCAGTTGTTCTGTTTGTCAAAGAGACGATAACTTTGTTAGAAGAGAATCTCTTAAAGCTTCTCTTTCTGCAAAATGTGACAGTAAAACTAAAGAAATACAGATATAATGAAAACATCATGGCAGTAAAAACACAAAATCTCATCAAGTAGTTTTGGTCTAGTTTCTAGTGGAATATATTGGTACTTTTGAAATGAGACAAAATTAACTTACAAGTTTTCAGAAAGAAATATGAGCTTGTTTTATGTCAAAAATACTTGTTCCATTGGCAGATTATTTCACTTATTACAAGACTTTTTTTTTTTTGCTAAGTTACTTGTAAGTTAGTTTTGTCTTAATTCAAGCGGACTAAAACATCTGCAGTAGAAACTGGACCAAAAGTACTTGGTAAGATTTTGTGTTTTTGCAGTGTAGGAAGTTGTTCCTCTTTTAAAACATGACAACCAGAGCAGAAATTACTCTGGTAGAAGTGTATATAAATCATAAAGGTGGAATCCCATAAGAGACGTAGAATCTGCCTCATCTGTGCTGCAGCGGAGAACAGAGTGACCTTGATCCAAACTGCTCAAGTGCTTTAAAAAAAATTTTCTTCACAGCCTTACTGCTGTAGTTTTATATTTTTATTACTCTTCTGCTAAGACTCCTCTTGAGTTTGCTCTTTCTTGGTATTTGTTAAATGCAACCTACAAGGATCAGAATGCATTTCTTTAAATCCGCAGACTGGTGTTGCAGGCATGATGAAGGTAAACTATGCAAATATAACACATGCAAAAAAAGGTACAGTTACTCTGGAAAACATAAATCAAATTACGCACTACTCCATGAAGGTGATCTATGTTGACCAGTTTAGTCAGATAAATTGTTAAAAAAAACCTAAAATGTATAATACTTTTCAGAGATGCACTTTGAACGTGTAAATATACTTTAGTACTGTTCTTCTTTTGTTTGATTTTCTCTTAAATGCATTTTCGTGTACAACAATTTATTATTTTATTACAATACGTTCAATAAAGTCAAGCTAACTAATTAAACTCACACTGCCAAAAGCATGACATAACACCTGTTATGAACATGAAGGAGTCTTCATGGATGTTTATGACCGTTGTCTTTAAGTCTCATTCGGTAAATAATGACACTTTTAATGCAATTTGTAATGGAAGTTTGCAATAAAAGCGTCATTATTTACCAAATGACACTTAATGACAAAGCTGATGAAGATTCCTTCATGTTCACGTCAGTCTGATGCTCATATGTTTCTTCATACTAAAATCAAATGCACCCCTAATGACGCTATTTTAGATTCATTTTCTTCTTTAAAGTTAATATTCATGAGCTGAAGAGAAGGCGGTGAAAAGGCCAGACCCCCGGCCGGCCCGGAGGGCTCGCAGCAGGCCAGGCCTTTACCACCTCGCCTCGCTCTCTGATGTGGTCACCTTCTTCTCCAGGACCCCACTGGGTCCCACTAATGAGGCCGTTTAAGTGATTGCCTGCTTAAAAATACACATTAGAAGGGCGCTGTTGTTTAGATACCTCTGCAGGGGGCCTTGTGAGGGGAGGGCTCCCTGTGTGTTCAAGCTGAGCAACAGATGGTCCCAAAATAGCAACAAAACCAGACCAAATTCATTTTTAACAATTTTATACAAATATTTGATCAGTAGGGGCACACCGATTCCGTTTTCTGGCCGATTACCGATCTGGGTAGTAATTAGTTACATTTACTAAAGTAAATTAGATATATTTTTACCAAACTGTACTTTTTACTTTTACTTTTTTATTAAGATGATTCAAACTGATTACGTTTTTGGTCATTTGTACTGAATTGTCATAAAACAAACTTAAATCTGAGTAAACAGTGACTAATACCAGTATTGGGGAGTGACTAGTTACATTTACTTGAGTAACTTTTTTGAAAAAAAATTACTTTTAGACTTTTAGGAGTATTTTGTTTTGACTTTTACCTGAGTAATTTTATTCTGAAGTATCTCTACTCTTGAGTCAAATGTCTGTATTTTCCACCCACTGAATGAAAAACAAACATGTTTTAACCAAAATCCACGGGACTCCGACACACACCTGCAGTTTTGATAAAGTTTCAGAAGTTTTTTTAGTAAAACAAGCAACAAAAGAAACTGACCGATGTCATCATCGTTGCGGTCGGCTGGGTCTTTTTCCAGACACTCTCGGACCAGGTCCCGGCCCAGAAGTCCGTCTGACGCTCTCTCCAGGTCTTCATCCTCCTCCTCCTCTTCCTCGCTGTCCACTGGAGCCTCTGGCAGTCCAGACAGATCCACGTCTCCCAGGTCGCTCTCTGTGGCCTGAAGAACACACAAGTAATCACAAGGAGGTGGGGACTGTTTTAGCGTTTTCTGCAGAGACAAAACACAACCACCAAACACCAGAGTATGGCCAGATGAGATACATTTTTAAATTTTGGTCTTAATTTTTTGAGGAAAACTGCTGCAGAAGTCTCTAAAAAAAGGTGAAAAAAGCGCCAAAATTTACTAATAAACACTAACTTTACCTCTACAATACAATGTGCATCAAGTGGAGATTTTTTGCAATTTTAGCTTAAAGATATCCAAAGTTGGACAACTTTAACTGCAACCAATGCAGTTAAAGTTGATTTATTAAATCAACTTTTCAGATTTTACTTGTAAAAACAGCTGATAATGTTGCTACTTTTTCTTCCAGTTAGCCATTATTTGCTACTTTCTGTTGATCTGTCACAAAAAATCCAAACTACATTCAAGTTTGTGTATGAAACAAAAAACTGGTAAATAAATAAAAGCACTGGTCTTTATAATAAAAGTATAAAACTAAACTAGCAGTTAAAATTCTTTACATGTTGAATTAGTTGGGAATTTGAAGGTCAGTGCATTTTGCCTGTGGGTGTTAGTGTAACACATTAAAATAAATCATTAAAAAAATCCATACTTCATTATAAAATACCCAGAATATTTACAGACAACTATCTGGAACAATCTTTATAGCACAAGTTCAAAACTAAACTAGGTCAGAAGTTTCTATGAATATTTTCAACTACTCAGTTGTACCTGTGACCTGGACTTTCAAAATAAAACCACATCCTGGCATCCAAAACCTCTGAATGTTCAAATGTCCTGGCTGCTCAGGGCCCAGGTTGGCCTCAGCAGGAGCAGGGGCAATTAAACCATCAACCTGGAGGTTAAAAGTGGAGCCCTCTAGTGGCAGGGCCAACGCCACGCTTTTCTGATTTCTATCAAAATTCAAATGTTTTGTGAAAGTTCTTGTATGATGAAGTTCTCACATTTCCACAATTTCAGCAGTAGTAAAAGTAAAGACGAGAAATTAGTTTGGAGAAGTAAAGAAGTTTCCGCCTGCTCAGTGTTTTCTGTTTCAAATAAATAAATGACAAGATCCCGAATTTACAGAAAATGCAAATGATTTAATACATTTGAGCTTCTGAACTCTTTTATCCATCATTTACAATAAAATTACTATATATTTTTATCATTTACTGATTTAAAATTGCCTAGTAAAATTTAGTGATTTTTTTTTTTTCATCCTTACAGGAAAAAAAAAAGACTTCGACTCTGAATCATTTTAAAATTACTTTTTTTTTTTTTTACAACAATGAGGTTAAAAGAGCAACAGGCTCACTAAATTCTCATTTTCTTCCCTCACTTCCTGTCGTGAACAAACCCTTCACTGCCACTCACACCTGATCGTTGGCTGCGCAGGAGTTCACCAATGTCAAAACAAGTTTTAGCTCAAAGGATATTTCCTCGACATGAATGACACCAAATCCAAAGAAAACACCTCATGTTAAAAAGAAGAAGAGAGATGTGGCAAACGTTGCTTCAGAATGTAAACTAGCTGAGGGAGGAAAGGGCAAAAGTCCAGAAGTTGGGGAAAAACAAACTTCTGAGGTTATAAAGAATATAAATGCATGGGAGAAACTCGGTAAAACAGTGACAGCTGAGGAGCGCAGCTGACTGGAAGGGTCAGCCCTTTAAGACAGCTGTAAACAAACACGGAGCCGGGTCAGCAACAAGCCGATGGGATCAAATCCGTGTGATAAATACCTAATCTGAGGGTGAAATGATCTGCGCTCTGTGTTAAATGTCAGACCCGGATAACCTCATAACCAACCAGGCAGAAAAATCCTGCAGGAGGTTGAAAAAAGGGGGATAAAATACCTTTTTTTTTATTTTGGTCTGTTTTTGCATCTCTTTTTTTTGTTTGTTTTGCTTTTCTTGTCAACATTAAATTCCTTAAAATATGAATTAAAAAATAATTAAAAATATTAAAAATAAAAATATTAAATATGAATAAGGTGCTGTATGTAACTTTTATGAAAAAGAAACTGTAACTGTTGTGGAAAAATTAAAAAAACAAAAAACTGAGCTTTTCTTCCTACAGCCAGTACTGACTAGAAACAACCAATCAAAGCAAGGAGGCAGATCTTAGCGCTGTCAATCATCCTCCATGTGGCGCTGCTCATCAAAATTATCAATGTTACCAATTTGTAATGATTTCATAAATTTAAGCTTCTGAAGTTTTTTATCGATCATTTATATTAAAATTACTATATAGTAATATACAAGCTATGCTAGCTGTAACCTAGCGTACTATAATTAATGCTAAGGCTAGTTAGCACAAAGAACACTGATGATAGATGAGCGGTTCTCCTATAACAGAAAGTTGTTTCTCCACCATTAGCACATTTAGCAGTACATGAGGTTGATTGGCAGCGCTAAGCCCCGCCTCCTGGCTCTGACTGGTTGTTGTTGGTGCATTTCTTTCGACTGTAACTGTAGCTCAGATAGGAGGTAGAGAAGACTGGTCTTTTTACAGATTATTTGTCTCATAAACTGTTAGTTTTAACAAATATGTAAAAAAAAACAAACATTTTTATAAAAGTTGCATCCGGCACCTTTAACTGGTTATTTTTAATAAAAATGTATGAAATATTTATTTCTTCCTTAAATGTAACTAACTTTAAAAGCTTTGTTAACAGATTGTAAATCAGCCCAACAACAAACTAACCTTCCTGGTTGCTGTGATTAAAGCTACCTAAGACAAACAGCCTTGTGTCAGTAAGAAACTCTAAGATCCATTTATAAACACAGCATGCAGGGCGGGACGGCCAAATAATTACTGTAAGCCTCAGCTTGTGGAGGCTAAAAGAAACATTCTTGGATTTATAACGGCTTTCTCCTCAAACAGCGGAGATTAGAAAAGTTAGTGGATTAAAACAATTAGATGACAGGTTTCTTATGTTCTCTTTTGTCTCTTATTGACTCTCAGTCCTTCAAGCACTCAAGAGAGGCTTGTCGAAGCACACTGAGCTGGTAAATACTGGAGAAACGTCACAAAGGCAGAGAAAGGAAGAGGCGTGCAAGGTGACCTCAATCTGCTGCAGTGGAGTAATTAGCAGAGGAAACAAACTATTTCAAAATTAAAGGAGACAAGAGTGAAAAAGTACTATCAAGGTTTTCTTACTAAATGCTCCTATTTTATTTGACACAGCTGATTGGAGAATTAGCTGTAAACAGAGACACACTCATCAGAAAGTTGTCGGTTTCTTGTTTTGTGAAGCTTAAGGCTGTCGATACAATTTTCATAACCGACAGGATTTAAAATGTATATGTTTGTTACCTTCCTGGCATAAATGGTCATTATTTATTCATATTTAAACCAGCAGTACTTGCTGCAAAGCAACACTGTAAAAGACTGAGTTAAAATTTTAATTTAATTTTGAATCATATATTAGTAATTAGCAAGATTAGCATTGCTGGCGTTGCTGATTGATGCTGAAAATGGCTAACTGTGAGCTGGTTCCCTCAGTGACAACATCCACACCGAAGAGTTTAGGTAGGAAAACTACTTAGTCCTCAGAAATGTTCACCTGTTTCTGATGACAGGTTATCAGCAGGAGTCTGCCAAACTGAACACAAACTAATATTTAGTAATAGTTATTAGGTTTATAATATCAGATCGACACCATCAGAGTTTCTGCAAAATGGGCACCACTAACGAAGGCACAGCGATTAGGTTTCAGTACTTTAACTGGAGGAAAGATGGCGCTGCAAAAGGTTAGGTTTACTTCCTACACCTGACCTTCAGTCCACAGCTGGAAGATCAGAACTGATGAGCAATAATTAGAAGGATTAAAGGTTGACAGGTGAGCAAACAAGTCACTAATTTTAGCAGGGTTCATAATTTATTCCTTTTGATTTATTAATGGCAAAGTGGGAGAGAAGTGTTGATCATTCATCTGTAGTTTTTCTAGCAGAACAAAGAAATCTGTTCCCAGCCGATTCTGTGACCCAAAGAAACGTCTTTTTCTAACCCACCTGGTAAATGTCCGACAAGCTGCTGCTGCCTGAGTCGCTGGTGATGCTGCACCCTGATTGGCTAGGCGCCATGTGCATCACCTGCTGATGGGCGTGGTCTGTCAGGTGCATCTTATTGAGATCGGCAGGAAGCTGTTCATACAGGAAGAAACGCACACAGAGAAAGGAGGATGAGTTTCCAACATTCCCTGTATTACACAGGGAAAACACACAAATTTCACGCGCACACACACACACACACACACACACACACACACACACACACACACACACACACACACACGTTTGTGTTGCTATCTTTGTGGGGACTTTCCATTGACTTCCATTCATTTCTACAGCCTAAACCACCTTTACCCCTTTCCTAACCCTAACCAACCAAAACTCAATTCATACCTTAGCCCTAAATCTGACCCCTGACCCAAAAACAGGGTTTCCCCTAGTGGGGACCAGGCTCCGGTCCCCACGAGGAGCGATTGGTCCCCACAACGTAGTATATGTCAGGAAAATTGTCCCCACAAGGTATTACAAACAAACGCACACACACACACACACACACAGCGGTTTTCATCAGGCTGAAAGCCAGAGCTGCAGAAAGTAACTTCCGACGGCCGTAAATCAGGATCCAGCAGCTTCGACTGATGTGATCTTCTGGTGTAAATCCTGACTTTCTTCTCACAGGCAGAAACAAGTCAAACAGGAACTGCTTGCAATCAAGCGTCTGAACAAACATTTCTGGGGGAATGAAGGAAAAGCAAACCCAGTCTAAAGCTTTCTACTCTCTTACATTAGAGAAAACTTCCACTGTGTAGATCTCATTTCCAGACAACAGTTCGGACTCAGAATCTGAAGTCGACTGACTAAAAACATGAGAACTGCACTGCTGCAGCTCCTCCAGAGCAACACGGAGTCTAATTCACTCATTCTTTGATTCTTTTCACTAAAATAACTGAGTAAATGTAACCAGTTGCTACTAACCAACACAGCGGATTCTGAATTGGCCCACAGCTATCGACTGGCTCCGTTAACAACCTTTCAGTCTCCAGTCCTACCAGCTGAGACCCAGGACCGGGTCAGGGCAGGACCGGGTCCGGGTCAGGGTGAGGACCGGGTAAGGGTGAGGACCGGGTAAGGGTCAGGGTGAGGGACAGGTCAAGGTCAGGGCAGGACCGGGTCAGGGTAAGGGTCAGGGCAGGACCGGGTCCGGGTCAGGGTGAGGACCGGGTAAGGGTGAGGACCGGGTAAGGGTGAGGACCGGGTCAGGGTCAGGGTGAGAACCGGGTCAGGGTGAGGGACAGGTCAAGGTCAGTGTGAGGACCGGGTCAGGGTAAGGGTCAGGGCAGGGCAGGGCAGGACCGGGTCAGGGTGAGGACCGGGTCAGGGTCAGGGACGGGTCAGGGTGAGGACCGGGTCCGGGCAGGCTCAGGGCAGGACTGGGTCCGGGTAAGGGTGAGGACCGGGTCAGGGCAGGGCAGGACCGGGTCAGGGACGGGTCAGCGCTCGGCCGTAAATGCTCGCACCGACTGCTGCCACATGAAGCCTCTTTGAGCCGAACTGGAGCTCAGCAGCAGAGGAACCACAGCGGCTTCATGCAACATTAAAGACGTTACGTCTGGGGTTCCCCCTCTTAGCAGGTCTGCTGTTCTGCACAACCTGATGAACCTTTAAGCTCCACCATCTTCAAACCCAGAGGGAAACACCAACAGAACCGAGGAAGTTCATGTCGTTAACGTGTAATACAGCACATTACCAAGAAACATTTACTAAATTTAACTACAAATTACACGAAGCTGCTAGGAACGGGCCTCAGCGAAAATTCAGGTTCCATATTTTTCCAGAGTAAAACACCTTGTGGACATTCTGGTACCACATATTTAGCTATCTGGGTTTTTATCATCTGCATGTTCCACATTTTATCAGACTAAAGTTGGATAATCGGCAGATTTCCCAGATATTGTTAACATGAAGAGGAAAAATCTAAATCAGCTCCATTTCTGAACTGGACTGGATTATTTTACACCCAAATACAGCTGAAATAAATACAACCATTCAAAACTAAAATGGAAAACGGTCAAATCAAGTAATATTGTGATAAAAAAATTATTAAATATGTGAAAGCTGAAACCATTAATCACAATTAATCTACTAATTAAATAATTGTCAACTAATTTAGTAACTGATTCATCGTTAACTGAAGAATATAAACTCAAATTACTTAGAAAAAGGAATTGAATTATTCATTTATTTACATACTTTAATGCATTTTTAATATGAAAAAGTTTTGGTAAAATAAAAAATCTGCAGATTAATCGATTAATCGTTACAATAATTGATCAATTGCAGCCCTAAAATATGTTGTTTTCATGATGTAAAGCACTGTGAGCTGTCTTGTTGCTGAAATGTGTTCTAGAAATAAACTTGACTGATTGATTGTTATTGATCAAGTCTATACCAATCAGTCTTCGGTATGCAGCCTTGTGCTTCTGCATCTATTTAAACATGAAATATTTGTGGTTTTCTTCGATTCAGACTCTGATGTTAACGCATTAATAGCACAGCTGTTTCTTATAAAAGCATTTAAGGATCAGCATCATAAATTTAAAAGCCGCTATTTTAACATTTATGCTCCAATATTTTCTGAGGAACGAGGCGAAGGAACGACTGAAGAAGCCTTTAAGTGAAATCCATTTCCTATTAAGCACAGCAGAGTAATGCTTTGTGTGATTCACTATTGACCCAAAGACAACACGCAATCTTGGGGTTATTGATTGAATTACATCCAATCACATTTACACATCACTCTACTATTAGTCCTAATACTTATTGCTGACTAACTGCATGTTTACCGTGTTTCTGTGTGAATGAGGACGACAGTGAATAATTGCTAATTTCACCAAAGCGAATGCATATCGATTCCTGCATGATGGAGAAATTATGAGCCGTTCTTCCAATATTTTTACCGGTACTGGGAGACGGAGCCTAAAAGGGTAAACTGGTGCATCGAGCCTCATTTATGAGGTGAATGGCAAAAGGAATAAAGTTTAATATTTGCTTTTTAAGTCTCAGAAGTCTGAAAACTTGAGGAAGTAAAAGTATCGAATTTCAATAATTGGTCAATACTGGACCACCTTTCAGCAACAGAGGTTATTTTAGCCTCAAGTGTCCAATAAATCTGCACTGCAACGGTCAAAATTATAATTCATGTTAATAAAAAGGAGACAAAACCTCCAGCCTCTTTAAATAATGGAGTTATTTCTAAACATTTTACTAAAGGTAATTATTCAAACTCTGTTATAAAAGGAGAACAGTGGGGCGGAGTGGAGTGGGGTGGAGCAGGGTGGAGTGGAGCAGAGTGGGGTGGAGCAGGGTGGAGTGGGGTGGAGTGGAGCAGAGTGGGGTGGAGCGGAGCAGAGTGGGGTGGAGTGGAGCAGAGTGGGGTGGAGTGGGCATCACGGCTCCTCTTCACGCCACAGAATTAATCCCGCTCTAATCCCTCCTTTCCCTCCCAGCGGGGGAAGGACAGGGTCTTCCTTCCACTCTCCTCATGCATTAAGGATGAGCGTCAGGAGATTAAATATAAATGCGCGTGGCTCCTTCAGCTGTACAATTTCATCATGTCAAGGCGGCGGCTCCAATCTTGGGAGGACTGAGCTTTCACTCCACCAATTATTAGAAAACCAGGTTAACTGCAGAAAGATGAGCGTCTTGTGTTATGAAAACACACAGCAGCGAGAAAT